AGTAGAAATCACACTGTAGAAATCTCACTCAGGCATATGGAACATGTGGTTGTGGAGAAAGAAAAATACCTGGTTAAGGATCCTGACCCTGGGAAGGGGTTTAAGTCAGGAGAGCTTCCTGAGTCTTGTGGCACTAATGTAATGATTATTAAAAATTGCTGTGGATCCCCGAGTAGCTTGCTGTGGGATCCCCTGCAGGCAGGGGGTAGTGGGTCCCGAGAGCATCCCGTCCCAGGCACGAGACCACACGGCAGGTCTCCGAAGGTGGCTGGTCCCAAGTGGCTAGCCATGTGGGTGGTGGGCAGATGAGAGACAGACAGATAGGCACACCATGCAGAGTGAAGTTGAACATTTATTAGGTGGGTTATAGGGAGAAGATGGAAGTGTGGAGAGTCAGAAGCTGCCTCCTCCAGACAAAGATGGAGAAGAGAGACCAAGGCTGCAAGCAGAGAGGGAATGGGCATAGCTTATCTCTTAAAGAGACAGAAAAACCATTACATTCAGCAATAGGGACTTACCATCAACCTCTGGTAGGCAGCTAAGGGTAAGAGCAATAGCTTATATTGTTTGGGGGCATCTCTGCAACTACCCTGACTAACATCTTGAAAGAAGGTTTCTCATACCTGGTTCTGTGTGGGTTTGTGGTTGTTGTTAGATAGTCTACAGCTTTTTCATGGAGGAGGGGAACATCATTAGCCCAAGTGGCATAACTTTAAGTAAATAGAAATTTTAGGTAAATATAAAATAATATGACTCCTCAAGGCTTTTGTAAATATCCTTAGTGGCATTTGCCTCTCTTCCCCCTTTCTCTTCTGTATTGATCTCCTTCTCCACTCCCAAACTCAAGACCCCTACCCATTTTTCCTTTATCTCCTTCATATCACCTGTATCCTGATATTCCCCTCTTTAACCTCACCACCAATGGGATTTTCTCCCTTTTGTTTCTGTGGTTACTTCAGGTTATATATCACATCTGATTATTTAGAGACACGAAGCACAGATGATAGAAAAGATACAGCATTGTTCTTTATGTGTCTGAGATACCTCAATCATCATAATATTTTCCAGTCTTGTCCATTTACTTTCAAATTTTCTGTACCATTATATACATGTACTATATTTTCATCATTCATTCATTTGTTGAAAGGCATTTAAGTTGCTTGTATTTCCTACTTATTGTGAACTGAGGACAACAAACATAACTGAGAAAGATCTGTGCAGTAGAATGTTGAGTCCTTTGGACAAAGGAGTGGTGTAACTGGGTTATATGGTGTACTTATTCTTAACTTTTTAAAGATTCTCTATACTGATTTATATATTGGCTTTTCTAGTTTACATTCCTATCAATAATGAATGAGGGTTCCTCTTTCTCCACATTTAACCAGAATTTATTGTCAGATGTTTTTTTATTTATCTTAGCCTTTCTGACTAGGATGGGACGAAATCTCCAAGTTTTTTAATTTGTATTCCCCTAATTGCTACAGATGAAGAACCCTTTTGGAGATATTTCTTAGCTAATTTTTTTACTTGAGAACCCTTTATTTGTATCTTGACTTTTTTTTTTAGCTCTTTATGTATTCTGGATATTAATACTCTGTCAAATGTGGAGCTGATAGAGTGTCTGCTGCTCTGTTAGCCTTATCTTTCCTTGATTGTTTCATTAGCTGTGCAAAAGCCTTAAGTTTTATAAAGTTCTACTTTTCAATTGTTAGTTTTAATTCCTGAGCAAATGTAGTCCTATTTAGAAAGTCATTTCCTACCTCTATATCTTATAAGGTACAGCATATGTTTCTTTTAGCAGTTTTAGGTTTCAAACTGAAGCCGTTGGTATACTTGGGTCTAATTTTTGTTCAGTGTGATAGATATAGGTCTAATTTTATTTTTCTTCATGTGGGCATCCAGTTTTTCCCGAGCCATTTTCTTGAAGATGCAATGTATAATTTTGGCCTTTTTGTCTAATACCAAATGACTCTAATAGCATGTACTCATGTTTGGGTTTTCTGTTTTGTTCCACTGATCTACATGTCACTTTTTGTGCCAGTACCATATTATTTGTAGCACTGTAGCTGTACAATAGATCTTCATATCTGGAATGATAAGTTCTCTAATCTTTATGTATTGTCCTGAAATCTCGCTTAACTTATCTATTAGTTATCACTTTTGTGTTAATAATTTTGATAATTTGTTTCTAATAGGGATATCTTTATTTAATTTGATATATAATTGTCTTAGCTAGGATACTGGTAAAATAAGAGTTGGTCAATATTGCCATTGTGACCAATGTTAGGGGGAAGTCATTATTCTGTCACTATTAAATATGATAACTTTAGAGTTTATATTTGTCTTTTATCAGGTTCAAGAATCTCATTTCCTCTTTTAAATGTATTTTTGAGAATTTAATGCATAAGTGCACCATATCTGCATCTTTTGTAGCCTTTCTCTCCTATCAAAGTCCTTATGAATCCCATCTTCCCAACCATCTAGAATCATGATCTTTTTATTTGTCTTTCTGTTATCTATCTATCTATCCATATAATCATTGGTCCATCCATCTGTCCATATGTCTTCTCTCAGTCTGTGACTATTGGTCAGTCTATCTTTCCCTATGTTTGTCTAGATAAACACACACATAAACACACACAAACAATTGTACACAAAAACCTTTTGATTCCAATTAGTGTTTGCTCTTTCCTTTAATTTTTTTCACATTTGCACAAGTATGTATGTATGTGTGTATATACTCATCCCAGGGATCGAACTCAGGTCATCAGGCTGAGAAGCAAGCACCTTTACCTGCTTAGCCATCTTGCCAGCTCAAGAATCTCATTTCTATTTACAGTTTGCGGAATGGTTTTTATTATGAAAAAGTGTTGAGTTTTGTCAAATGATTTTTATGGGTCTATTGATAATAATATCATTGTTTTTGTACTAGTAGTACAGTATATTTGAATTTTGGATGTTAAAATAACTTTGCACTACTAGGGTATCTACTTGATTATGATGGATCATCCTTTAAAATGCATTTTTGTATTTATTATTCTAGTATTTTGTTGGGGATTTTTACATCTATAGCCATAAAAGGTAATAGTTTATAGTTTTCTTGTCCTGCAATACTATTGTTCTTTGGGTGTCATAATACCTCTGCCCTTAAAGTGTGAGTTGGAAACTTGTTTCCACCTTTCTTATTTTTTAAGAGAGTTTATGAGGAACTGGTTTTCATCTCTCTTTAAGTTTTTTTTTTAGAATTCACCAGGGAAGCCATCTGAGCCTGAACTCTTTTTTTGTGGTTAGTTTATTTAGTTGCTAATTCAATTCCTTTACGTGATAGAAGTCTAATTAAGTTTTTATTTTCTTCTTTAATGAACTTTGATAGTTTATAACTTTCTACAAATTTATTCATTTTATCTAAATTATATAATTCCAGTGATCTGTTATGTAATTCTTTTGAGCTGTTCTTAACATTCCTCTAAGTGTCATTAGCATACTATTTTGTCAAATCTTCACAACAAGCTTATTAAAGAGATATTACTTTTATCTTCATATTATAGGTAGGAAACCTAAAACACTGAATTAATTTGCCCAAGATTACCTAGGTTCTAAATGAGGATACAGGATTTGAATCTTGACAAACTAGCTCCTGACAATGTATGTTCTTATTGTACCTAGATTATCTGAAGACCTGGAGATAACTTCTAAATGTCCTCATCAGGAAAGCCTGTTTTTGTTTTATTTTGTTTTTTTGAGACAGGTTTCTCTGTTTAACAGCCCTAACTGTCCTGGAACTCACTCTGTAGGCCAGGCTGGCCTTGAACCCACAGAGATCCACCTACCTCTGCCTCCCGAGTGCTGGGATTAAAAGGCATGTGCCACCACTTCCCAGCATGAAAACCTGTTTTGTCAAACAGAATCTTATAAGATATTTCCTTTTAATTAATTGTTATCTTTTATAATACAGTTGTTTAAAAAATGATTCTAGAGCTATTACCTCTTTGTAACTTTAAAAGGTGTCAACACCTTCAAGACAAACAATATCTAGGAGTTTACTTTCTAACTCTTCCTACACCGGTGGTTTGCAGCCTTCCTAATGCCGTGACAATTTAATACAGTTCCTCATGTTGTGGGCACCCCTAACCATGCAATTGTTTTGTTGCTACTCTATAACTGTAATTTTGTTACTGTTATGAATAATAATGTAAATATCTGTGTTTTCTGATGGTCTTAGGTGCCCCCTGTCAAATGATTGTTGAGTTGAGAATCACTGCCCTACACCCTAGAATCCTGTTTCATGTGAATTGAATTGTATGATATGTAATCTTTGGAGGCATTTATATCTGGTGTTCAGGATGGTGGTTTTACCTCCCTTTAGTTCTTATTTTTACTTGTATTCTTTGAATGACTTGATTATGCTGAGTTAATCACTGTCATTAATCATGAAGCCCTATTCAAAGCAGAGCTTTAGATCTGACATCCGTGACATGTTTCTGTTTTGATCTTACTATTCCCTTCTTTGAGAAAACATCTTCTGAATACTCCTTGGCACAGAGAATGTTGTTAGATATCATCAATGTTAATTACAAGCTTTCATCTCTCATTAGCCTTCAAACAAAAATAATTTCAACCTGCATTTTGTCAAAGGCATGGTGCTGACAGACAAAGAGAAATAACTGTTTCTAGTGAGAGTGATCAATGTGTGTGCAGGTAACTCATCCAATAAGTATTATAATAGAAACTTTGTACATGAATAATGATAGTAAATCATATGTGAGAAAATATGACATGGATCTTATGGGAAAAGTAGAAAAGTGTAGGAGTGTAGGCATAGAAAATATATGGTGTGCTACTGACTTGATTTCGTATGGTGTGCATCTTTTTGTTATCCTCTGTGCTATCTTGGGGTTGAATGTCTTTGTCTTTCTTTAGTTAATGGGGCAGCAGAATGGAATGATGTGTGAGGATTTAGGAGTTGCATTCTTCTTACCCACACTTTGTTTCCTTTACAGTTCCAAGGTTGGACTTGTCACCTCACTGTCAAATGTGGGGAAACAGTTTATTCTGGATATACCCAACAAGTCTAAAACACTAACTACTAAGGAACCATCTGTCTTTCAAAAGACATTAGTTTTAAATAAGGAACCTGCTACGAAGGAGACAAGACTTTTGAAGAAGACATTACAGAGCCGTGCATGCCATCAGAAGACATTTCTAGTGGAGAAGCCACTAATCTTGCTGGAGGAGAGTGAAGACTACAATGAGTTTGATGCAGAGCCCATGATGACTTCTAAAAGGAAGAAGAAGCCAGAAGAAGCAGACATCACTGAGAAGGTAGTATCCTTAGGGAATCAGATATTTTTTTGTGATAAGTATTTTCAGAAATGCATCTTCACCAGAAGGTATTGTTTAGGAAAGACTAAAATTCTCCTATTTATTTTCATAGATGATTGATTTAAAGATGCCTTTCATCAGGAAGTTGACTGTCACCTTGAGTCCATTGCCTTTAAAGAATAAATATATTATACAAGAAGAGAAGTATACTGTTCAGGGGAAGAGTTTAGTCAGGAAGAAATCATTAGGATTAAAGGTGCCAGCTACTAGAGAGAAGTCAGTAATTGGAAAGCCATTTTTTAAGAAAAAGAATCCTACCACTGAAATGAAGTCTTTGTTACAGGAGCCATCTTTACTGCAAGAGAAATGGAACGTTCAAGGGGAGGCAAGCATCTTGAAGAAGCCACGGGTGTTGCAAGAGAATACAAATAATAAAGATGACGCTTTAGCAGAGCCAGTTACTTCTAAGAGGAAACATAGTACCAAAGAAGCAACCCACACAAAAAAGCTATCCTCTTTTAAAAATAACCGTGACACTCAGGGGAAAGGCACCCGTGAACATGAGCCATTGTCCTATAAGAACTCCAACACCAAGAAAGATTCGCATTTCCAGGGGCCGTCTGTATTGCCAGGCAAGTGCACTGCTCACGTGAAGGTATCGGCTGTGGAACAGTCCTTGGCTGTGCCAAAGCCTACCACTGAGGAAGAGGTGCAGCATATTCATGTAGCTCCAGCTTTGAAGAAGTGCCGGAGCATGGAAGAGGCCACTTACTTGAAGAAGCCTTCACCTTTAAAGAAGAAGCAGTGTCTCAGTAAAAGGAGATGTTTGTTCAATAGCCCTGTAGTACAAGAGCCAGTCACAAGTGAGCCACTGTCCTTCAAGACGTCTACCACTAAGAAAGAACCCCCTTTCCAGGGGCCATCTGCATTGCAAAAGAGGCACAGTAGTCCTGAGGTATTGTCCAAGTCGAAGAAGCTCTATGGTCCACAAAAGCGGCATATTAAGGAGAAGTCACATGTTCAGTTAGCATCAGCTTTTAAGGAACCAGCCTCCACTCTGAAGCCTTTAACTTCAGAGATGCAGCAGACTTTTACTCAAGGGACAGTGTTCCATTTTCTAAACCCACGAGTACTATTGACAGACATTTCAAGAGCAGGGTCACTAAGAAAGGAGCCACCGCCCTTTAAGAAAGGAAATACAGCTTTACCGAAAAAAAAGTGTGCTACTCATATAATCCCCCTCTGGCCAGCACAGTCAGAATGGCTGGAAAAAATTGATGAAACTAGGAACTTTCTCTCTAAAAAGCCTGGATCACTTAGGAATGAAACCATAACTAGGTTCCAACAGAATCCATCTTCATCGCATGAAAAATATTCCATTCCTCAGAAACCACCCCCTGCAATGCCATCTGTCTCAGAGGAGAAGACCACCAGTCAAGAAGGGGCATATAGTAATGAATCAGTGACTTTAAATGATGACAAGGAACTCTTCTCTCCAGAGCTATTTTCTCCTTATAGTTCTGCTGATGAAGATACATTGAAATTCCAGAAGTCTTTGGACTTTCAAGAAAAGACTGATAGAAAAAATGGCACACACACAAACCTGCCTGCCTCCCAGGACAATGTTTCCGATGAAGAGTTGTTTTTAAGAAAGCTCTTTTGTAAGGACAGATACCCTTCCTCTGTGGAATCGAGCCAAGAGAAGGCTGCTGCTCTAGAGCAGGAGTTTGTCTTAAGAAAAGTGTTGGATGAGAGCAGCAGTGGTGACAATAACGAGTCTCTTAGTCATCAGCCACCGTGCTTTCAAAACTACTCCAACACTAAGGAAGAGGCCTCGGAGGAACCTTTAAACATTCCAGAGAAGATGGCTGTCTGTATGGAGTCAACGATTACACAAGGTAATTCTATTAAAGAGGCTGCCATCAAGATACACACCACTGACACAGAAACTCAGTCCAAAAAGTTCTTGACCTTGCAGGAGACAACCAGCATTGAGGAGGAAACTCTAAAAGAGCTCATAGCTTCACAGGAGAAGCCCAGAGCTGAGTTGGTGACTGTTCTGAAGGAGCTACTAGTCGTTGTGAAGAATCCCAGTGTAGAGAAGATAACCTTGACCTCTCAGGAGAAACAACTCAGTAATGTAGAGGATCTCTTGAATGAAGTATTGGAATTGGTGGAGAAACCTACTGCGAAAGAATCTACTCTGGAGGAGCCCTTGGTCTTGCAGGAGAACCCTAGCACTAAAACAGAGGCTAGCCTGAAGGAAGCATTGGCCTTGAAAGAGAATCCCAGCCCTGAGAAGGCAAGCTGCAAGGAGTCTTTGACCTTTGATCATAAGGCTGACATTGAGAAGGATGATGTAACCAGAAAGACACTAACTGTTGAGGAGTCCACAGTGACACTAGCATTGAATGAGGGACTCACTGCTGCAGACCAATTGTCCTTCTCAGGTCTACCACCTTTGGAAGACACTACTGTTATTGACGGCGAGGATTTTTCCAAATCATTCCTTATCTTTCCACCTGAGACTAACCCTAATGTGTCCAGCAATGCTTTAGCATCCAAACCAGACAATTCCAGTGCTGCCATGCCCTGTGTAGAAAACTTCGGTCCTCTCATGAGTTCTAGTCCATATGACTCTGACTCATATGACTCTCAGTCAACTCAGGGCATAAGACTTCCTGAGGTATTTACTTCTCTATTTCCTTAAATTAGATACGGTATTTTATCTAATTTAGGTAAGGTGCCTTATATAATTTGAGAAAAACTATCTTTTTGAAAGATAGTTTTTTATTTGGTGTTGGATATTTTTTTTTTGATTTTTCGAGACAGGGTTTCTCTGTAGCTTTTTGGTTCCTGTCCTAGAACTAGCTCTTGTAGACCAGGCTGGCCCCGAACTCACAGAGATCCGCCTGTCTCTGCCTCCTGAGTGCTGGGATTAAAGGCGTGCGCCACCACCGCCCGGCTGGTGTTGGATATTGAAACTAGGGCAAAGCATAAGTTCACAGCCCTAACCCCCAAAGGGATTATTTAAGAAATATTCTAATAAAGTGTATGTGTGTGTATGTGTCTGTCTGCCTGTCTATGCATGTGAGCTCACTTGCCTGTATAAGCCAGAAGCATTGAAAACACCTCGAGTTGGAGTTATAGTCAGTTGTGAGCTGCCAAGAATGGGTGCTGGGAACTGAACTCGGGTTCTTTGCAAGAGCAGTGGGTGCTTTTAACCACTGAGCCATCATTCAAATACCTCAAAAGTCTTCTTTTTATGTGCTGCTTAAGCAGCTAAGCAGTGTTGTACTGTGTTGGGAAAGGAGCCTCCACTCAGTGAGAGATGATATTTCTTTGATTACCTTCTGATTTTATTTAATGAGAGGTAATACATAATCTATTTCTCATCTTTCATACCCTGAGGTTTCTCACGAAATGGGAAAAATTACTGGGCGCTTTGAAATTCTCCTCTTATATCAAATTGATATTGTAGAATATCTTTAATTTCCAATTTTATAGTTATGAAGCTTATCAGTAAGAAAGTATTTATGCTTATTAAGACCAAGAATATTGAAATATATATCCCAAGGAGGGAAATATTTAAGTTATAAATTATAAGAAAGAAAGTTGATGGAGAAACATCCCCTATTTAGAAGCAAAGCAACTTAGATAAAGGTTTAGATGCAGGAAAAAAGCTACTAAGATGAGGCAGAGCAGATCAAAGTATTGGGGCATAACATGAGATGTTAGAAAGCAGTTGACATAGCAGAAATAACAAAGTAAAACTGTCATAAGAGAGGCTTGCATTGGGGCTAGAGAGTTGGTTCAATAGTTAAGAATACTTGCTGCTTCTGTAGAGGACTCAAGTTTGGTTCCCAGCACCTACATGGCTTCTTCAACTGAATTAGATCTTCCAGGGAGATCTAATGCCTTCTGGCCTCCACAGACACTGCATGTACATGGTGCACATACACAGCATTCAGGCAAAACACCCAGATATAAAATAAATAAAAGAGAGACTCAAAGCCATATGTAAATAGAACAGGCATATACTAGGCAAATATTGATTGCTGGACAGTATGCAGATTGTAGGGCTAAGACATGATCTTTAATAGTCCAAAACACTTGAAACTTGGGGAACAATGGTAGAAGACAGTGAAGCAAAATGAGTATGTATGAACTAAGCTTTCTTTTAACTCTTTCCTAATGTCCTTTAGCTAATTTCTTCTTCTTTTTAAAAATTATTTATTATTATTATTATTTCTACCCTAACTGCTGTCTCCTCTCCCTTCTTTCCTCCCAGTTTCTGCCCCCACCCTCCCTATGCCCCCTCATCCACTCCTCCTCAGTTTCTATTCAGAAAATGTCAGGCCTCCCAAGAATATCAACCAGACATGTTATATCATGTTGCATGTCAACTAGGCACCTTGTCTCCTGTTGAGGCTGAACAAGGCAACACAGTAGAAAGGAAGGGTCCCAAAAGCAGGCAAAAGAGTCAGAGACAGCCCCTGCTTCCACTGTTAGGAGTCCCACAAGAAGACCAAGGTACACAACTGTAACATGTGCAGAGGGCCTAGGTCAGACCCACACAGGCTCCCTGGTTGTTGGTTCAGTCTCTGTGAGCCCAGGTTAGTTGATTCTGTGGGTTCTCTTGTGATGTCCTTGATCCCTCTGGCTCCCATAATCCTTCCTCCACTCTTCTGCAGGATTTCCCCCCAGCTCTGCCTAGTGTTTGGCTGTGAATCTCTGCTTCTGTTTCCATTAGTTGCTGGGTGAAGCCTCTCTGATGACAACTGGGCTAGGCACCAATCTACGAGTATAGCAGAATATAGTTAGGCGTCATTACATTGACATTTTTTCTAGTCATGTTTGATTCTAGAGGCCACCCAGCCTCTTGGTCCTGGCACTCAGGGCAGTATCAGGGGTGGGTTCCCTCTCATGGCATGGGTCTCAGGCTGAACCAGTCACTGGTTAGTCACTCCCACAATTTCTGTGCCATCTTTACTCCAGCACATCTTGTAGGCAGGGATGAAGGAGAGAATTTTTTAAGCTAAAATTGGTATAGAGTAAAAATGCACAAATCATTAATACAAACAAATACATTAACATGCACAAAACATTTTCACTATCTACCCCTAGAAAGTTCCCTCTGACCCTTTTTAGTCTCCTGCCAAAATAATCATGGTTGAATGCCTGATAGATGGAACCATAGAACATGTGCTCAAAATGATTGTCTTTTCTTCTAATAGATAATAACACTGGATGACAGTGACTCATTGGAAAGGATTGAAAGGGAAGACAGGAATCCCGCATGCAACTCTGTATATATCAAGGAAATCTTCTCTTACTTGAAGAAGAGAGAGGTAGGTCTGTAGGCTGCTGGAGGTGGACAGTGATTTCTTTTTCTCTTTTCCTTCAGAATATAAATTGAAGTGGGGGCTGATAATGATGTTGAAAATGACAATATCTGTGAATAACATCTATTGGTAGCTTATTGTAAGTTGATCATTACAGTAAAGAATTTGTACACATCATCTTAACTCTTCTAAAATTTCTTGATGGTACAGATTATTATCTCCTTTTAAAAATTTAAGAGAAACAACTCAGAGTCATCCATATTACATAGTAGAATTGAAATAGAAACAAATGTCTGATTACCATGAAGACCATGACCTTGCAACATCTAACTGCTGATCAGACAGTCTAAGATAAAAATCTTAGACTTAGCTTATCTCTGAGTAAGTTCTGTAAGAGATCGTTTTTCCTTGTTTTTCTGTGCTTCTGACATTATATGTCATAATCACACCCCTTGTTTCAACTTTTCAATTTGGTGCAGTATTCTTCGCCTTTGAAAATGAAAGCCTGCTTTAAATATTCATTAGTTCCAAATTTTCTTCTCTTTTTCAATGAAATAGGTAATGACAAGATTATATACCAAATAGAAGTTTGAGCAGACTCTTTATATGATGGTGAATGAATATCTCAAACTCTCTCTAGAGAGAATTGATTATCTGAGTCCATGCCTTTTCTAATATGCAGATACCTCTTGACATATGAAGAAGATAGCATCTAAGTAAACTCACTGTAAATTGAAATATAAACTCCCAGCCACAATGTTCAATGTAAAATGTAGATTGATAAAGCTACCCAATACTGAGAGAGAGATACAGAGGGGTGGAGGGAGAGAGAGAGAAGTTTGTATTACATATTTTTAGCCTTGAAAAAGATCAAAATTAAGAACCAGTAATTGTGTTTCAACTGAATGTGTGTTGCTTTCCATCTAACATAAAGTATAAAAATTAAGTTGAAATAATTCAGAACCATCTGTTCCTCAGAGAAACCAAGAGATAGCTCTGTTGTTGTTTTTTAAGTTGAGTCTTAACTTAGCAGTATCAGATGAAATCTGAATTTTTTCCCGTTTCCTACTTTTTTTGAAAATAAATTTTTCATACATTATAGTCTTTTTAAAGTAATATAAGTTGTAATTTTTATTTCTTTAGGAATTAGAGTTGATTTTTTTCATCCAAAGCTGGTATAACATTTTGCAAAGCAGCAATTGCCCATTTCTCTAACACAACTACTCAACAGTTTGGTTAGATTCTGACACAGAGCCCCCAAATTTCATATCAGCTGCCTCAGATAAAGGGCTCATTTACACAGTAATGCACCAACTCCATAGTCAAACATAGACAAGGTGTGCAGGATGCCCATATTTCTACCCATTTGATAACAAATTTCACATTTCCCAGGATTTCTCATACTTTTAATTGGATCTAGAATGTTCCACAAAGGTTCAGTTCCTAACTTGAAATGATACTGTGAGGTAGCATAACCTTTAGGAGATTCATTTTAAGATGAGATTCAGTGTCTAACACAAATGCCTCCTCTTATGGGAAACTTGCTCCATGATGCAAAAGAACACAGATGTCACTTTGCTGTTGCTTTGTCAGTTTTTGCTGAGACCCTGTAGGTTCTATGACAGCAATAAAAAGTCTGTCTTATTTTTGTTCTCTGTGATAGGGCCCAGCATATTGTGTTGCTGAGCAAATGTTTGTTGAATGAGCCCCATTTTCATGTATCTAAGGCTTATGAAGCTAAGTAAAAATGAAGACATTAGTAAGACCTGACTGGTGAAACTGAGGGGGAGGAAAGCATCCTTGCAAAGGGAATAGGATGGATGGAAGTCAAGAAAAATCCTAAAGACTAAAGCATAAAGGAAAGGACTGGGCATGATACTAATGCTGTGTGGTATGATGATGTTACTGCTATGACACTGGCCACAGACAGTGGCTAAGATAGATACAGTATACTCTATGTAAGTCTCGGAATGATCTCTCTAGTTATAACACACTTTCCTGTCCTTTAATGGTCAGTTTCCACATTTCATTCCATGAGGGGCTGTTATCCAATTGGGAGATGTGCATTATTTATAATTATTTTTTATTTTTGTTTTGCTGGTGTAACTGTTTTGCATGCATGCAAAACATGTGTGTGCAGTGTCTGCCAAGCCAGAAGCAGGCGTTGGATCCCTTGGAGCTAGACTTATTTATTGGATTGTGAGCCACCATCACGCAGGTGCTGAGAATGGAACCTGAGTCTTCTGCAAGAGTAATAATTGTTCTTAACCACTGACAATAGCTCCAACCTCAAGATATAAACTGCCTGTTGTTTGTTTCATTGGATATTGCTGTAGGCTGTTATCAGAACCTGTTATTGTACTATCTTTTCATTGTTCCTAATTGTAAAAAATCATACATACCATTAAAAAATCCATTGGTTACATTTTCTGCTCTTTATACAACTCATAAACTTTTTTTTTAAAAAAAGAACACTTAGCAATGATGATTCATTTTAGAATTATGATGCAGTGAAAAAAAGTACAAATTTCTCGGTGTTTTCAAATTCTTAGTATGTTATTCTGAGATTGAGGGACAATAAGTATTCTAAGATAAAAAAGATGAGATTTGATTATCAAAAGAATGCTTGTAGAGGGCATTTTGGGACCATAGCTCCTTGGCTGTTTGTGCTTCCAGGCTGCTATATGTTCCTGGCATCATGGACTACTTTACCATGTCAATCATACTTCATACAGTATATTCTAGTCATGGTTTTCCCTTCATCATTTACTCCCAGGTCCTTCCTGCCTCCCTACCAACTCCATGCCTTCTTTCTCTTTCTCTGGATTTTTTTTAATTTCATATATTTTATTAACTATTTGAGAATTTCTTTTTTCTGTTTTAAAGGTTTTTATTATTTCAGAATTCCATGCATGCTATAATGCATTTTTTAAAACAATCTTTTCTCATTTTACATACCAATCTCAGTTTCCCCTCACCTCCTCCCATTCCCCCCACTTTCTCCCCACCACACATCCATCCACTCCTCAGAGAGGGTAAGGCTTCCCATGGGGAGTCAACAAAGTCTGGTACATCACTTTGAGGCAGAACCGAGACCCTCCTTCCTATATTTGGAGCCCAGAGAGAATGGGCTCCAAAAAGCCAGTTCAAGCACTAGGGATAAATGGTCCCACTGCCAGTGTGGCCCTACAGACTGCCTAAGCCACACAACTGTCACCCACATTCAAAGGGCCTAGTTGGGTCCTATGCAAGGTTCCCCGCTGTCAGTCCAGAGTCAGTCAGTGCGTTTTGATCATATTTACACTCTTCCCAGCTCCTCCTAGATCCGTCCCTACCTCCATAAGCACCAACTTTGTGTCTTCTTTTTCTGAGCCCATCAAGCCCCATATGTGTTGCCCTAATATTATTTCTTGGCCACTCGTGGAGCGTAGTTGATATACCAAGAATCACATTCTTAAGAAAATTGGCATTCCCTCTCCCAGATGCTATAGGTTGTCAATAGTTCCTCAGCCGAGGTGGAATTTCATGCCCATTTTCTGCCTCCATGCTGGGATTTTATCTGGGTAGAGTTTGCGCAGGCCTTCTGCATGCCACCAAAACCACTAGCTATTAAGCCTGGAAAACAGTGTTTCAATCATCCCTGACTCTTACAGTCTTTCTACCCTCTTTTCCTTCCTTCCTTCCTTCCTTCCTTCCTTCCTTCCTTCCTTCCTTCCTTCCTTCCTTCCTTCCTTCCTTCCTTCCTTCCTTCCTTCCTTCCTTCCTTCCTTCCTTCCTTCCTTCCTTCCTTCCTTCCTTCCTTCCTTCCTTCCTTCCTTCCTTCCTTCCTTTCTTTCTTTCTTTCTTTCTTTCTTTCTTTCTTTCTTTCTTTCTTTCTTTCTTTCTTTCTTTCTTTCTTTCTTTCTTTCTTTCTTTCTTTCTTTCTCGAGACAGGGTTTCTCTGTAGTTTTTGGAGCCTGTCCTTGTAGACCAGGCAGTCCTCGAACACATAGAGATCTTCCTGCCTCTGCCTCCTAAGTGCAGGAATTAAAGGCGTGCGCCGCCACCACCTGGCTTCTACCCCCTTTTCACCAAGTATCTCTGAGCCATTTGGGACTGAGTATTCCACGGTGTCTTATTTTGGGCACATTGACCAGTTGTGGGTTTCAGTTAATTGCTTCCTACTAAAGGAAGAAACTTCTCTGATGAAGGTTGAGAGATGTATGTAATCTATGGATATAGTAGTAAGTCCATTCCCTGGTTTTTGGCCCCAAATAATGTTGCCAAGTATGGCTTCTGACTTGTGGAGCAGGCCTTAAAACCAATCAGAGCATGTTTGGTTACTTCCATAACATCCAGTCCACTATGGGGCCAGGCGAAATATCTTGCTGTTATTATTATGGCCTGCAAGGTTCTCAGTTGGGTAAGACTGATGAATAATTTTCTTCCCTGGTAATAGGCACACCACTTTCCAGAACTAGGAAAGCTGGCCAGTAGAGATGAAGCTTTAAGGTCACGATTTTTTTCATCTTCTATTATTACGGTGTGAGGTTTTTTGTTTGTTTGTTTGTTTTTGTGTTTTTGTGATGTGACCTAGGTATCTGGAATTAAATGTTGGTGGTTTTTCTTGGTATAGATACGGGCTCTTATCTTTGTTGTGTGAGTATTTATTGCTACTACAATTTATCAGGTTTTGGTTCAGCTGAGTGGTGTTTGGAACTCAGTATTGGGGCAACTCTGTTGATGTTTAAATGAGATGTCATAAGCAGTCCCATTTAAAGTAGAGTAGGTACAACTTCTGAGCCCAGGAGAAGACCATCTGTAGCTAGAAGATTCTTATCGCTGATCTTTAGAAGTCTATGAGAGCTCACTCATCCAGTTCTACATGTTGTCCTTGGGTAGCAGAAACTGGAATCTCAATGGGAGTGGAAGGTGCTCCTTGAAGGTAGGGCACAGAATGTTATGCCATTTTGGGTGGTGGTGGGTAAGATGTAGGCTGAACTGAAGTTCTATACCTGGGGCTGTACTCACAGGGGCCATGAGATCTCTAGGTAGCACAGTAGGTAGGGTGACTCATAGACTAGCTCTGTGTTTCATGCCTGAGTTTGAGCTCATAGGGTACCACCTAGTCCACAGAATTGCCATTGGGGTAGCTGAGGGGTCAGGCAGGTAGGTAGACTGGCTCTGGTGGCTCTCATTGGAAATTTTGACATAAATGTAGACACCAAGCTTAGTTTTCTAAATTAAAATATGAAGCTTTACAAGACATTTGAGTGAATCCTACATATGTATATCAAAGTTGAAAAGCATTGGTCTGCACGACATGGTATTGTGTTTTAGACTGAATTGCAAAGAAGTATTGCAACTCTTTTAATATTCCTTGGCAACCAAGGGTGGGTTCCCCTTTATCTCTTCTGACACTTAATATCTTTTTATTTTATTTTATTTTTTCTTTATTTTACATTCCAACCACAGTTATCCCTCCTACTTCTCCTCCCACCCATCCCCATCCACTCCTCCCAACAGGTAAGGGCTCCCATGGGTGGTGAAGCTTGGACTGTCTGAGGGGCTCCTGGCAGTAGGACCAGGAACTATTCCTAGTGCATGAACTAGCCTGTTGGAGCCCATTCCCTATGGTGGAATGCCATGCTCAGCCTTAATGCGGGGGGGGGGGGGGTCCTGCCTTGACTTAATGTGCTAGACACTTAAATATCTTATATGTCCATTTCCCAAAGATAGTTTGAACTTGTTCAGAAAAGAACACTCTAATGTGCTCACATCTGATACCAGTTGAAAGTAGTACATTAGAATCATGAAAAGGAGTTAATTGTTAAAATTTTGAAATATAAGAATAGTTTATTAACATTTTTTCAACAATGCCAGGACAAGTTCATAGTTGGGAAATACATGGAGCGGCAGTTGGAGCTCACCAGTACGATGAGAGCCATTGTTGTGGACTGGCTGGTGGAAGTACAGGTACGCCTGGTAGCTGCTGCCTTGAGAAGCTGTTGTTCTCTTTTTTCAGTTCAAATCAAACATGCTAAAAACTTACTGGATCTGTAGAGCTGAAGAAACCATAGTTACTGAGTTCTAGAAATTTATTATGTGGATGCAAAATAAGACACAGACAAGTAAATACAATATAAAATCTGATGGCTGCTACTAGTATTTGGTAGATCAGCATCTGATTGACTGTAAATTCAGCATCTTTGATTGACTGATACTCAGTCATTTGGTTACAAGGTGGGGTTGCAACATTTACAGGTTGTAGTTCACTATACAGAGAGTCTGCTTTAGCTAAACTTGTTCAAATACAGAGGATGGATTAAGGCCAATTACTTTGTTTCAGTATTCTCTAGGGGTAACAAGTATATGTTATTTGAAGTGTATCTTTCTAGACCATTTTCTGTATATTTTGTGGTTAAGGTTCTGCTGTCTCTTGTTTATGTCAATAATACACATCCAACCTTAAACCTTAAATTCTTCTGCCTCAGCTTTCTGAATATTGAGATCACAGGCCTGTGCTACTATGTATACACCTGTGTTTCTTAAAAACAAGCAGATCCCACGATGAATGTTGTGGTACAAGCCTGTAGTCCCTATATTTGGGAGGTGGAGGCAGCAGATCAAGAGAGTAATGTCATCTTCAGCTTCACAGCAAGTTTGAAGTCAGTGTGGGCTATACGAAACCCCACCTCAAAACAGTTACACACACACACACACACACACACACACACACACACACACACACTTAATCCAAATAATGTTTTCATATATATATATATATATATATATATATATATATATATATATATAGTGCTCTTTTTAAAGGCTCTATGATTCTCTCATCAGTATAAAATCTTGATTTAGCTAACTAGCCTTTTAGCATAACTGGTCTAATAACTTCCCCTAAGATAGGATTAAATAGTTAATATGTTTCAATTCACTTCTTTCTGCTTCTAATTTTAAAAATCTAAACGTTTAGGTCTATATTAGTCTTATCTAGTGTGTTGTATTACTTTTGAATTAAAAAGTCTCTGTGTAGCTCTGATTTCTATAATTATCTTGTAATATTGCAAGACCTTTAAATCTAAATTTTTACTTGTTGGCTCCAAGAATTTTTGTCTTTTTTCTACCTTTTTTCTTTTGCTTTCTTGTTTAAAAACCTTGCATAAATGGCTGACTTTGAAGAGGCTGAAGAAAGCAATCAGCTCTGCTACCTATTAAACTCTCTCAGAAGCAGATTATCTGCAAATGGCTTAGCACTAGGTTTCATGGTGGAGCCAGCAGGAATGGAGCAGGAAAGAACTTGCTTTTACCTTCTGTTGCACCCCATTTCCTGGTATAGAAGGCTAGTAAATCCAAACGTGAGCATCCCAGTGGAACCCCAGCCTGCACACAAAAGGCTGAGCACGATAGTATGTCTGTAATCCCAGTACCGAAAGGGTGAGGAATGACAGATCTCTGTAGCTCACTGGTTACCTGGCCTAGCAGAATCAGTGAGCTGCAAATCCCATGGAGAGATTGTTTGAAAGACTAAGGTAGATGGCACCTGAGGACAATACCTGAGGTTGACCTCTGACCTCTACATGTGCACTCATGCATATATGTGAAAACACATAGGACTATCATTCATATATTACCCATGTATTTATTTGTTACCATTTAATACCAGCATGCAGGGACAGGTGTGTACGCAGGGAAGCATTGGCTGTGCCTTTTTCTCACAGAGACATTATCCTTAGATAATGCTTCCCATTTCTGTCATCATTTATTTATTTATGACTATCTGGTTTCAATTTGCTACTTAAGATTGTAGCCATTTCTTTTCACCTAGATGAGCTCTTCCCATACCTATCTTAAGACATTCATTTAGATACTGTGAATAGCAAAATAAAATACCCATGTCAGAATGCCTAGAATATGTGAAAATGTTAAAGTTGCTAATCAGCTGAATTTAAGATAGGCCAATGATCTCAGATTATTAGAGTGAACCAAATGTATTTTCAGGCATCCTTAAATGTGGAACAGGGAGATTGGGTGATATAATATGAGAAAGATTTGTCTGGTTATTCATAGGTTTGGGAGATAAAGGGGGCAACAGACCAAAAGTTATGAGTTGCCTCTACAAACTAAAAAAGAAAGACAATATATTCTTTACTAGAACTTCTAGAAAGAAAGATAGACCTGTTACAAACTTGACTTTTAGCCCTGTATTTGTATTAGAGATCAAGGAGGAAGAGGGTATATGGAGTCAAGACACTCACAACCACTGTCTAGCTTGTAAGGTTTATTATCTGTTTGAAGGATAATTGCAAGGTCCTTAAAGAGGTTAGACAGCAGTATATTTCAGTACCTTTCTGAAGTAGTTTCCACATTCCTAGCAGAGTACAAACTGGCTAGGGCTATCCTTGATGCTCCAGACAGTCAAGGTTTCTAGCTCTATCTGGAGATGGCTGTTTGTTTGGAAAATATGCAAATTCTATCTTATTTGTTCCTTCAGTCATCCTTTCAGATGAGTAATGAGACCCTGCATTTGGCAGTGAAGCTAATGGATTGCTACCTAATGAAGGCACAATGCAAGAAGGATAACCTACAGTTCCTTGGTTCCACTGTCTACATGATTGCAGCCAAATTTGAGGTGACTCTGAATCCTTAAGGTCTGAGGGGAACTTGTCAAATATCTATCCTAAACAAAGAATGAGTATATATATGTAAACTTGTGCATATGCATCTCTATAAATTTATTTATATGTGTATATAAATATATGTATGTATGTGTGCAGATACTTTTCTTACCAAATGTTTGTCTATTTCCTCAACTCTGGAAAGTTCTTAGTTGTCTCTGGTGGTATATTTGCCCTGGGAGCAGCAAGATTCACTTGTTTAGGCTTTAAAGATACCTTATGGGCACAGGTGCCTAATTTGATAGATAGTTCTGTTACAAACTTCCTGCTCAATTATGATTTTCTACCCTCTTCCCAAGCTTTTCTTGTTCCACCAGCTATATCCTTGTCTAAGGAAATCTATCTGCATCTCTAATAAAACAAAGTAGAGTTTTATTAGACTAGTCTAGGAGGCAATAAATGTAAAATGGTTTGGTATAGATTATAGTGAGTCTAAAATGGTTTAGGTGAAATAGTTATTTTTGAAGTAACAGTATAAAGACAACTGGCCTTTTCTTCATGACCATAATACATCTAGTTAACCTCACTAATTCTTTCATTTAGGAGGTAGCAATTTATGTTAAAAGGTTCAAAAACTTTGGAACTATTTTTTCTTTCGATGTGTCATTTGCCCCCCTTTCATTTTTGTGCATCTGCTCCCTCTCCTCCATTTTCCTAGCTACCTACTTCCTTTTCTACCTTCTCTGTCCCTCCCTCCCTATCTTTTTTCTTTCCTGCTGTAAGCACCCCTTAGTAATTATCATTAGAGATACTGTCCTGTACCTTATTTTCAAAGCCTGGGCCTAGGTAGAGTAAGGTCTGAGGGGAAAGGCAAAGGGGAGCGGCTTACTTTACCAAGCTTTGGAAGCCTAAGTACCCCTCTTCTTGTTGTCAGAACAGAAGGCATCGACTAAGGCCAATGGAAGAAGGGTGTCTTTCTCTTACAGCATTTAGAAATATTGAAAGATTTTTAAAAAGGATTTATTTCTATTTCCTAATAATCTGTATATGTCTGTATGGGAGGCTGCACATGTGAGGTAGGAATCTATGGAATCAATGGTGTCGTATGTCTTGGGAACTGAGTTTACAGGCAGCTGTGAGCTGGTTGATGTGAATACTAAGAACCAAACCTCGGTCTTCTGGAATAGCAGTAGGCACTCTTTACTACTGGGCCATTTTTTTCAACCCCCTGAAAGTGTTTTCAATTATAAAAATTGAATTCAATTGTAACATTATTTATCCACTCCCTTTTCTTCCTTAATCCCTCCAAACCCCTTTACTTCATTTCAAATTCATGGTCTCTTTTCCTTTTATTATTATTCTTGATATGCATATATGCATAAATATAAAAATACAGCCTGCTAATTCCATTTAATATTGCTTGTATGTACGTGATTTCAGAGCTGACCACTTGGTATTGGATAACCAATTGGGCTCATCTCTGAGAAAGACGAATTCTCCCTCTCTCAGCAGTTAGTAATTGCCTGTAGTTCTTTGTGTAGGAGTGGGGCTTGTGAGATTCCCCTTCCACATTCGCATGTCTGTTGGCATTGCCATCGTTCAGGTTTTGTTGAGGCAGCCACACTGTTGAGATTTCATGGACACAGATTTCCTGTCATTTCTAGGAGACACATCTCACAGCAGCTTTCCTGGTCCTCTGTCTCTTACAGTCTTTTCTTCCCTCCTCCCACAATATTCCCCAAACCTTATGTGCAGGATATACAGCTTTGTGCTATATATATCAGCTGGGGGTAGGCACCCTGTGATCATTTGATTTCTGCATCTTGACCATTTATGGTTTTCTCTGATGCTGTCCACATGCTGCAAAGAGAAGCTTCTTAGATGAAAGGTGATAATTACACTGATCTGTGGGCATAAGGATAAGTTTTAGAGTGCAGTTAGGAATTATGCCAGTCTAGTAAAGCAGCATAGGTTCTTAGGTTCTTCTTTAAGATCAGTAACCTCACTAGCTCTTGGAAGTTGGCTGGCTTTCCAGTAGCAGACATTATGTTCTTCCTGTTGAAGGGCCTTAAGTCTAATTAGACAGCTGTTGCTTACCATGAAGATAGGACTGTCACTATTGTACTTTTAGGGATCTCGTGCCATGCTGGTTGTTGTTTTGGTTTACAGAAATCCTAGCTGGGTAGACTGTTGGGTGCTTCCCTCCTTTGGCAGTTTTCATGACACTTTTTAGTACCAGGAAAGCTAGACATGGGGAAGAAAGCTTTCAGTTCAGGCCCAGCTTGAATCCTTCCTTCAAGTCTTTGTCCAAGGTATGTGGTGTCTTCAGCAACAGGGACGTTATTTCAGTCTCTGGGAGGTGGCCAAGCTTAACAGAAGTAGCTTGTGTTGACTTGGGAGTTTCCTGGATTACCCTGGCCAACAGCTTCATGAAAGGTGGTTCTGGGAGATTTGCTAGATAGTCTGTGGCTGTCAGGGGAGCATTACAAAACAACTAACAATAAATACTAGTGAGGATGTGGGAAAGGGGAACCCCAGTTCACTGTTAATGAGAAGGCAAACTAGTACAACCATTCTAGAATTAAGCTGGGACAATCCTCAAATCGCTAAAAATAAATGAACCATACGACCCATCTATAATGCTCCTTGGCATATATCCAAAGAAATTTACATTCCTACTTCACAAATAATGTGTTCCGCAACATATATTGTGTCTCTATTCACAATAGTTAAGAAATGGAAGCAACCAAAAGTCTTTCAATAGATGAATAAGTATTGAAAATATAGCATGTATACACAATGGAATACTATTCAGCTGTATTGAAAAAATGAAATTGTGAAATTTGAAGGTAAATAGATGGGATTAGAAAATAGTAAACTGAGTGAGGTAACCCACACCAAGAGAGATAAATGCCACATATTCTCTGATTTGTGAGTTTCAGCTCCAAATCTTCAACTGTGAGTATATCCTGGAGTAACTGCAAAAATCAGGAATGTAAAAATTGACCATGGGAGGAGGGAACTAGAGTGGGGAATATCACAATACAGGTGACCTGAAGGAGTTTTTAAGGGAGATGTGGGAATGAGATTGTTGTGGATAAAAGGGACAAGTGACATGGGAATATGCGAACCTGATGAAGTCATAAGTGGAGGAGGAATAGAGGGAATGGGAGAAAAACAGGAGGGAAGGACAGTAAGGAGGTAAAGAGGATAGTATGTCTGGAGTGGACAGTGAGCTCTAGGTTAAGTAAAAGCTTTGAAGGGTCTTTCTATATACTCATGATTTCCCAAACCATTGTTCAACCTTCAGAGAACAGAGGACGGGAGGTATTCCTCCAGAGATGGCGTGAAATATTCCAAGCACAGCATTTCGAACTCTCAGCTCTTCTCCATCCTACTATGAATATTTTCTCTAGCTCTAGCTCATTTTTCTTTGACTTCCTTCTGTTCCTTTCCCATAGCAAGGTTTAGATATCTCTATTCTCATTCCAGATTCCCACCCATCCTGATCTCAGAAGTTGTGTCATGTTAGGCTGCTTTTTGCATTGTAAGAGATCAAAACATTTAGACCCTTCATCTGCCTGATGTTGATACAGTTTAGGGACAAGCAACTATTCTTTTTCTATTTTGTTTTTTCTTTCTGTTGAGAAATTCAAATAAACTAACACTGACTCTCAGATCTGCCCTGAAAGTCTCTGTCTGGAAATGTGGCTGACTCCTACTTCTCCTTCTTTCACTTTCCTCCCCACCATCCTTTTATCATAAGCAGAGATGAAACAGATGTCTACATGGATGATCGTGTTTCCTTTTTATTCACAGGAATCCTATCCACCTCCTCTGCGAGAGTTCCTTTATATTTGTGAAGATCCTTATGAACCGCGTGATATGACTTCCTTGGAAATGAAGATCCTAAAAACTCTCAACTTTGACATCAATATTCCCACTGCATATCATTTTCTGCGTAGATATACTACGGTAACAGGACTGGGGTGGAGGAACAAAGCTTAGTTATTTTAACTTCTAGATTAATCTTTTATCCAGAGTAGCTGACAGACTTCTTGGTGAAAGGTTGTTTATTAGATACCTGAGGTGGGACAAGTTATAAATTTCTGTGGATTACCTTTAAGATTTTGGGATAAGAGCAATGTAGGGATGAGGTAAAAATATTCTTTGATCAGGAGAAGATGCATATGCTTTGGGGAAATGTCAAATATTCTTTTTCTTAGTTATGATTATGCTGGAAATCACCTTTTAATCATTCATTGTTCCCTACAATTGTTTTGTATATGTTTTATGTGTGTTTTAAGTTAAATTGTTGAACATAAGAAAGAAGGGAATGGCCGGGCGGTGGTGGCGCACGCCTTTAATCCCAGCACTCAGGAGGCAGAGGCAGGCGGATCTCTGTGAGTTCGAGGCCAGCCTGGTCTACAAGAGCTAGTTCCAGGACAGGAACCAAAAAGCTACAGAGAAACCCTGTCTCGGAAAAAAAAAAAGAAAGAAAGAAGGGAATGTTTTGGAACATGAAGCATCTCCTAGAGTAGGACTATGACTATGTGCAGCTCACAGTTGGGAGACTTTGACCCTTCCAAGGATGATTACTCCAGTGAAGAGTCAAAGGGTACACGCATGGTGAGTTAGAATGACTTTAGGTCTTTGGTGACCTAAAGATAGCCATTCTCCATGCCAGTATCATAATCTTCTCTCAGAGTGCCTGCACTTTTGTAGGCAGTAGAAGTGTTAGAGCTCTGAGGGGAAAGGCTTCCTCAGTGAGAGCTCTGCTCTAGTGGGGGAAGGTTTTCCTCAAAGTGTTACAGTTTTGAAGGAAAAGGTATCCTGGCAGTCTGGAGCCAAGGAATACTGCAAAGTCACACCATACAACAAACCTCACACAAGAGATTTATTGGGAGGGAAAAACCCAAGAGGGTGGCCGCCTCTACTCAGGTGAGAAGCAGCAGCAAATGGAGCAGAAGGTAGGGTTTATATAACGTTTCTTGGTCAGGGGAAGTTTTCCAGGGTGGGTATTGGTGGGTTTTCAAGTACAGAGCTTGGGTTTTTTACTTCATAGTGCGGGGGCTGAGACTGGCTATTAGGGCAATTAAGAGTGTTCTGTGGGTTAGGACCTGGCAGTTGGAGGTCCTCAAGGGAGGGACCTGGCTACTTGCATGCCTCAAGGGGCTTACAGGCAGGAGTCTGTAAAAAAGGGGTCATGAAAGCAGAAGAAGTACTTTGTTTAAGCAGAGAACCATATGGATTAGGGATGAGATAGCTTGAAAGGGATTCTTCTGCCTGATACTGTTTTTCTGAATTGATTGTTAACCCATCTTCTTATTTCCTTTAGTGTGCCCATGCTAGCATGAAGACACTAACTTTGTCCCGCTTCATCTGTGAGATAACCCTACCAGAATACGAATTTATCAAAGAGAAGCCATCAAAGCTAGCTGCAGCCTGCCTTGCCTTGGCCCTCTATATGCGGAATCTCGACAATTGTGTAAATGGATGGGGATGGGGTTGCTCAGTTGCTAAGAGCATGATGTTCTAAGTTCAAATCCCCAGTACTCATGTAAAAAGCTACGCATAGACATTTTTGATTGTACCGCTAGTCTGTGGACTGGCTGGGAGAGGTCAGAGCTATCAATACAAGAGAATCATTGGGAACTTGCTGGCTGCCAACCTGACTCTAGGTTCAGTGAGAAACTCTGTCTCAAAGACTAAGGTAGACAGTGGTAGCACAAGACAACCAGACATTTTCCTCTGGCCTGTGCATGTACATGTACAGGTACATACATACATACACACATGTGCATGAATGTGCACACACCCCAAAACTACTTGGGGTAGATATTCATGATGGGTGGAGATGGAAATTAGGACTGTTGGAAGTTCTTGTAACAAAATTGCTATGTTCCTATGCTTCTTGATGACTTGCACAATGTATGGACAAGATTTTCTACAGTGATTGATTAGTTTTTCTTAGACACAATACTGTAACACTTTTTGTTTTTAAAGAAAGCCTCCCAGAAAATCCAAAATTGCAAAACAGACCAATATGAAGTCACTTTGGTTATCATAAGTGCTATTGCGGGATCACTTCCTATCCTTTACCCCATTCCATTCCTGTCCCTTGCAGTCTCCTTAGCAGAAGTGACCTCTTAAGGATCTTGTTGGATAGTGTTTGAGAAACCTGACCCAGAGACTACAGAATAGTGAAAGGATATGTTTGTGTGTGTAACAGGGCATGTCTGTAGTGCTATCATCTGAAGTAGAAGTTTCCTATAATTAAAATTCATATTTGATACTTTTCTCAATTTTGTAAGATAGTGTAGAGAAAAGCAACTGTAGACAACATTTAATTCTTACTGATGTGTAACATATAATCAAATTAGAGACAATGTGGTAACAATGCCCTTGTTAAACAACCATTTCTAAGGCCTCTTTATCTAGAAATTCTGAGCCAATCTTGATGAGCAAACCTAAATATTGAGGAAGTACCACACAGACACTTAGGTGAACCTGTGCTATTTGTGTTTATTTTTTCTAGCAGTTTTAGTATTTCAGGTTTATGTTGATCTTTTGCATTCTGTCTTGGATAAGATGGAATCTCAAAGTTTTGTGTGCATTTTCCTAATGACTAGGGATGCTGAACATTTTTGGAAGCATTTCTTACCCATGTTTTCTTCTTTTGAGAACTCTTCTGTTCAGGTCCTAAGTGCAATTTGTGAATGAGTCATTTGTTTTTGACTATTTGTTTTTTGACTTCTTTATATATTCTGGATATTAATCTTCTGTTAGATGTATAGCCGGCAAAGATTCTCTCCCATTCTGTAGACTTCCTCTCCTTTCAGGTGATTATTTCTTTAGCTGTGCAGAAGCTTTTTAGCTTTCTGAAGCACCACTTGTCAATTGTTGGCCTTAATTCTTTGGCAAATGCAGTCCTATTTAGGAAATCCTTTCCTACACACCTATAACATGTAAGGTACTACGTATGTTTTCTTCTAGAAGTTTCAGTGTTCTAGGTTCCATGTTTAGATCTTTGATCCATTTGGAGTTAGATTTTGGTCAAGGTGGTGGATGGTGCCTTTACCTAGGGTTCCTAGATTCTACTTGGCCACTGATAGTCTTCCAAAGTAGTAGCCTGGGATATGGAACCCAGGATTGGGAGTGCAGTCTAGGGTTCTTGGACCACTTAAAGAGGTTTAGCAGGTGGTGTGCAGTGTCTTACCTGGGGTCCCTAGGACCACTGTGACCTCCGGTAAGCTGCTGGAGCTGTGGAAATTTTATGTTTTATTCCATTGTGATCAGATAGGCTACAAGGAGTGATTTCAGTCTTTTTGAAGTTTTAAAGATTTGTGTTGTGTTTCAGGATGTGGGCTATTTCAGAGAAGCTTCCGTGTGCTGCTAAGTAGAATGGATATTCTTTTGTGTTTGGGTAGAGTATTCTGTAGATAACTGTTTTTGATGTGTGATGTCACTTATTTCCAATTATTTTCTATTTAATTTTTGTCCAGATGATTTGTCTATTAGAGAAAGTGTAATATTGAAGGTACATATTATTATTAGGATGAAGTTAATCTGTGTCTTTACATCCAATAGTATTTTTTAATGAAGTTGTACACCCCAGAGTTTGGTGCATATATTTTTAGGAAAGTAATGCCTTTGTAGTTAACTATTCCTTTAATTAGAATGAATTGTCCCTCTTTATCTCTTCTGATTACTTTTAGTGTGGAGACTGTTTTCTCAGCTATTAGGATAGCGATGTCTCCTTGCTTTATGGCCCAACTTGATTAGAGTACTTTTGTCGATCTTTACTTTAAGGTGGTGACTGCCTTTCGATATAAAATGTGTTTCTTGAAAACAACAGATGGGTGGAGTTTCTTTTTCTGTTCAGCAAGCCAGTTTCTTTTAATTGGAAAATTGAAGCCATTAATACTTAAAGTTATTTTTGAAATGTGTATGAGTTAATTGTGATTATTGTGTCGTTGATTTTGGCATTGTTGTTTGTATTCTAAGTGCTACTTTGTATCTTTCTTATTATTTATTCCTTTCTATTTGTTTCCTTGGTTTCTTGGCTATGCTCATTATTCTCTTCACCCCAAAGCATTGCTTCCTAGGTTTTCTTTAGATTTTGTTTGTTGAAAAAAATTTAAGACACTTATATCTTGGAAAATCTATCAATCTCCTTAAACTATAGCAGATGTTTTTTCTGGGTGTATTAATCAAGGTTGGTCATGGTCTTTCAGGAATTGCAATGTATTACTCCAGGCTCTTCTTGTTTTCAAATTTTCACTGAGAAGTCAGCTGTTACTCTCATGGGTTTTCCTTTATATGTGACTTTAGTTTTTGTTTTCCTTGCAGCTTTTAATATTCATTCTTTGTACTTTATACTTAGTATTTTAGCTATGATAACTGTAAGGACTTTCTTTTCTGATGTTGTCTATTTGTTGTTATGTGTGTTTCTTATATCTATATGAGAATGGATTTCCTTATTTGGGGAGTGTTTTCTTCTGTGATCTTGCTGAAGAGCTGGCCTATGCCATTGACTTGGGATTCTTCTCCTTTATTATGCCTGTAATTCAAAGGTCTTATTTTTCATGTTGTTTCACATTTTCTGTCTCTTCCTTTCCTGTGTTCAAAGTATTTTTTCATACTCCTTGTTTATTTGGTCTATATGTTCTACTTTATCTTAAAGTCTGATATTTTATTTTCTGCTTTATTCATTGTATTTCTAAGGCTTTCCCTTTGAATTTTCTAGTGGATTTATTGAGTTTTTTCAATTCCATCTTCATTTCAGCTTGGGTCTTCTTCAGTATTTATGTCTTTGTTGAAGTCTACTTTCAAATCTTGGATTGTCTTTGTCATTTCTCTAAGATGTGGGCAAAGTAGTAACTGAAAAGATGTGAAGGTACTAAAGGAAAGAGTACGGTGTATTTGGGGTAAAATTCTAAAACTAGTCCTATTCCTCAGGTCTTTAGTGGATTTTAGCATACATGAACACCTATAGCTAGGGCTAACATATAAATGATAATACTTGGACATAATCATCTTAAAAGTTTGTGTTTGAAACTTGAAACTAATCTTTTAGGTGCTACCCTATAATTATTAGTATCTGTACTGCATTCGTCTTTGAAATGTTTTGAGTATCTCCCCTGGGATGCTTGGACTTGAGTAGCATAGTTGGAGGCAAGGATATATTTTCAATAATATAAGTTGCTGGTCATTCTTCTCTTTTCAGATTCCTTTACTGGAACAGCAGACTCACTACAAGATTAGGGAACTTTACACCTTGGTCCTGAAGCTAAACAGTTTGGTGGCTTTCCAACCCAATTGTTGCCTCAAGAATGTATATGCGAAGTATTCTGAAGAGTAAGTACCAAACTCCACTTAGAGTTTATGCTCATTCATGAAAATCTTTCAAACAGTGGGCCTAGAAAAATCTCACTTAAAAAAAAGAGGATTCAGAAACTTTCTCTACTCTATAGTTAAAGCCAGATAGGAAACCAAGGGCTCTGATGTGCCATTTCCTCTGTGGAACCTCTTTTGCTTTGGCTTATTTTCCTCTAAGCAGACCGCGTTTCCTTTTGCAGGAACTTCTTTGAAGTTGCCAAAATACCTCCTTTGGACATGAACTATCTAGAGGAGATTTTACAGTGTGCATTATAGAACTGAAGCCCTCAGGGAGCAGCTGCTGGGGCAGGCACATGCATAGTCTGCATTCATTTGTTTCTCTTATGTTTAAAATTTCATTAATGTTTTCTCTCTTTGTATTTTCATGAACTAATAGTGTTGTGAATATTTACATGTTTTAAACTGCTTTTTATGAAAGAAAAGAAACTGTTATATTTGTTTTTTAAAAAATTAATAAAAATGCAACGGTTTCTAGAATGGCTCATGTCCCCTTTCATTGCTGAGATACCCCACATGTGTCAAGAAGGCTGTTCTCCCAGTGAAGCCTATTTCAGGATCTAACTTATCCAGTTTCCTTGTCTTTTTAGAGGTTTTCTCCTTAGAAGAAGAGGAATTCATCTGGTGTAAGCTGATAAATGAGTCTATGGCAGGATGCTCCTAGTTCAAGAAGGGCCCCCGGTTCTCCCCCAGGCAGGCCTCAGCAGTGCAGAGCCAGAGCAGCTAATAAGGAAGATAGAACAAACTCTTAACAATTCCAATCTCAGATTCTTTATTTACTTTTTCTTCAATGGTGAAAGATGAAGAAATAAGCCCCCCTGCAAGGCAGCTCTTGACAGTCTAAATTTGAAAATGAAAACAACTTGTAAGGCTCATTGAAATCTTTTCTGAACCTTATTGTCTACCAAAAGAAGACATTTCTAGTTATAAAATCAAGATTTTCCATGAATGCAAGCACCAACAAGTTCTTCAATCTTTTTTTTTGTTGCATAAAACCGCAAGAAGTTCTTTTTTCTCTTGCCTTATCTCTGAGGTAATGTGTACTGAAATAGTTACTTCATTTGCTAGGAAAGGAATTAAAAACTCCCTATGCCAAGAGCCTTTTTCTCAGTCTCTAGGACTTTCCCAAGTCTATCAAGAAGTATCTGCCACAGCAGACGACTACTCGGACTCTCATCTTTTTTTCTTTCCTTTTTTGGTGGTACTAGGCATTGAATCTAAGGTTTCATATAAGGCAGGCAAGTGTGCCACCATTGAACTATATTTCTAGCACTTATTTTATGCTTTGTTTGCCCTTTATTTAAGCTTTGTTGATTTCCTACATAAGTACTTCAACTTCCCTCTCCTATCCTAGAGAATATATACTAGACACGTCCTCGCATATCCCCCTCCCACCTTTATATCTTCTCTCTGTTTTGTAACCCAGTTAGTCCAATTAGTCTTGCCTATTGGACTGTTGACTGATTGTATTGGCTCAATTTTGTCCAGGTTTGTGCAGATAACTACGGCTGCTCTAAGTTCAGGAGTGTAATGGCCATGTCATGTTCAGAAGTTAGCATCTCATAGCACTCCTCTCCATCCTCTGGCTCTTATATTTGTTTCACTTTCTCTTCTGCAATGTTCCCTGAGCCTTAAGAGACTTGGGATAGATGTCCCATTTAGAGCTGAACATTTAGTGGTCACTTATTCTTAGAACTTTGACCAGTTGTGAGTCACTGCAAGAACTGCTATCTATGACAGAAAGAAGCTTCTCTGCCTAAGGTTAAGAGCAACACTAAACTATTGTTATAAGCATGAATGTTTAGAAGTCATTTTGACACCTAGCAAAGTAACAGTAATAAGTTTCCCCACTAGGCACTATGACTCCCTCACTCAGAAATTTTGACGAGGTTTATAATATTAAGTGTGAGTTCCTTCCTGTATATCAGACCTCCAATTTAATCAGAAAGTAGTTGCTTATTCTGGTAACAGTCACGCCACTATTGCGCTAGTTAGCACATATTGACTGGATGGTTGATATTGTAGCACTCAGGGTTTAGCAGTGATACCATTGATGACTTTTCTAGTCATCTTCCAGTACTATGAAAGTTAGCTAACAGAGAGGAAGTTTTCAGATCAGTCCCAGAATTATTTCTCTATGCCATGCAACTGAAGTATGTTGTGTCTTAAGCAAAAGAGTCTCAACATCTAGTTATGAGAGGTAACCAAGAATGATAGCAATTACCTGTATTGGTATAGATAGCTCTGGAGACTCTCTGAACAATAACTCATAGGTAGGCATCCTTCACATGACACTGGGATTTTAATTTAATGATTTATATATTCTGGAGCAAGCACTGTCCATCCATACAGGGAACATGTGTTCCAAACTCCTCCATTCCATTATATTTTAAATTAGTTTTCACAGTAGTGTGTTTCCATAAGAGGTTTTCCTACATCCATAGTTTAGTTAACCCAACCCTGTGGCGTCTGCACTACAGGACGGTAGGCAAGCCGGGAAAGGGGCTGGGGATTTAAACACATACACACACAGAGACATAGGGACATGGGTCATCCTTGAAACAAGGACGCCAACTTTATTGTGCTCCAGGGAAGCTTATATGGGATCCTTAACTGATAGCCACACCCCAGATCCTGGAATTTTCACCTGTAAAACCCACCAGAATTCACTTCCCTGCCATCAGGAACTCATCAGGGTCTCGTGCTCAGAGCAGCTGCAGGCAAAGGAAAACAAGTTGTTTACTCCATTTACTCCGGCAGGCAAAGAAAGTCAAGGGGCCAGGGATCTGCAGCCCCAAACAACCCTACTTCCTACTCTCCTCTATCCTACCACCAATCTCCATTTAAACATTTAACTCTTTACTATTAATCCCAGCTTTCATATCACATGTGTTCTACTATCATGTCACCTATTTTTGACTTTGAAATGATTTATTTTATTTTGTCTTAATTAAATTTATTTAATTTTATATCCCAGCCAAAGTTTTCCCTCCCTCCTCACTTCCCAGTCCCTCCCACCACTTCCATTTTGCCATCCCCAATGTACCCCTTCCTCTGTTTCTGTTCAGAAAGGGGCAGGCCTCCCATGGATATCAACAAAGCATGGCATATCAAGCTGCAGTAAGACTAAGCACCTCCCTTGTATTAAGACTGGGCAAGGCAACCCAGTATAAAAATGGGTTCACAAAATCCAGCCAAAATACCAGGGACAGTTTCTGCTCCCACTGTTAGGAGTTCCATAAGTAGGCAAATCTACACAACTGAGCTCCTATGAGAAACTATGAGGTTAGTTGATTCTTTGGATTTTCTTGTTATGTCCTTGACACCTCTGGCTTATATACTCCTTCCTCCCACTCTTCAATAGGATTTCTGAGCTCTGCCTACTGTTTCACTATGGGCCTGTGCCATGCCAGCACAGCCTGGATGCTGAGACTGGCAGGGTGCCGGGATTGAGACATGGAGGCTTCTTTTCAGGTGGAAGAACAGCAACCTTTATTTTGCCCCAAGCTAAAGCCTTTTATACCTCTACTGCTTCTGTGGAAAACCACTGGCCAAAAAGAACACAAGCATCCTTGTCAATTACAGACCACAAGGAAGTTCCACTGTCAGTCAGGGGGAGTGAGGGCAGCTAAATCACAACAACTCCCTCCCCCCATTTTATTTTATAAAATAAATGGTGTCTGTCTTGTTATTTTGGGTGGAATACTTTGTCTGTCGTGAAGAATAGCCTTCTAATATTCCCAGCCTTAGGTGGCATCCTGCCCCCAATTATTGCCCTTTCGTGGCTATCCAGACACATAGCCCTAAGCCAAGTATCCCCAGGACTGACAGCACCAATGAGCCAGACCAGTGCTGCAACCATCTAGCATGCACTAACTGGGTAGTAACATTAACAAAAGCAGTATTCCAAAGCCCTCTCATATGACAGTTGAGTTCCGTAACAGTAGCAGAAGCATGCAATACAGTGCCAGGAGTAATGCACATAACATGATAAAAGCTAGAACATGTCAGCTGTTGAAAAGTCCAAAGATAGTCCACTTATTCCCGAACCAGAGCCACTTGTTGGTTCAAGGTCAATATGCCCAATTGAATATGTCCATTAAGATCATTTTGAATGTCCAAAGCATTGCTGACTTTCAGCCAGGTAGTTGACAGTCTCAGCCGTCTGCACAGTCTGGGAGAGAGCATTTCCAGCAGCAGTATCTGCCGTGGCAGAGATAGCAATAACGGCAATCACAGTTGCAGTGATTCCAGGGTCTCTCTTCTGCCTATCCTCTATGGTTGCCATATTTGCTGATACTCCCAACACCTCTGTGGTATCCCCCAGGCTGGGCACTGACTGGGCCAGGGCAACATGCCTTTCACCGATGCCACCTATCAAAGCTCTGCTCCAGCTGCCCTCTGGCCCCAGATGCACTCTCTCTGGGTCCAAACTGCTGTGTGGAGCAGAGCAGAACTCAGGGAAGCAGGCTTGCTGCTCCTGATCCTGAACCACTGAAGGGGCCCCACTTTAACAATCCTTTAGGGAATTTGGGCATCATCAATCTGTCTCCTGCTGAGCGGGGGTGCTGCATTCTTGGGGGTGTTTTATATTAACATTTCAGGGGTCTCGGTGAATCAAAACCACATAAATTTGCAATGAATCCACAGGTTCTCATCCTCTGTGGAGACAAAAGCAGAACCTCTTCCAAAGCATCAAATCCTTAGCCCCATATTTTAAAGGCAAAATACCTTTCTTAGCAGTTCCCAGAATCAAATGTCTTTCTCCAGTCCAGAACACAAAAGACAACACAATCAACATACTAACATACATTTATCTGTACATATTCTATCTTTTGGAGGCCCTCAATTCACCCTCCTGCCTCCTCTTTATTACTTCCCTACTGGCCAGTCTTTCAGAGGGCATCCCTCAGAGCGTCTCTGGGATGAAGAAACACTCCTTTTAATCTGGCTTGGCTTGTTCCTAGTCTGGAACATTTAAACCCCCTCCCATAATAAACCAGGGGCTAACTTGAGCTATTGTTTGTACAAAATCTTCCGCTATCTTCCTTGTTACTTCCGTGCTTTGTTGCTTTAAGAGTTTCAGTTACGTTTTGAGGCCTTCAATTCACCCTCCAACCTCTTCTTTATACTTGCTAGTCTTTTGGAGGGTATTGCTCAGACTATCTCTGGGGATTAAAAAAAAACACATTACCTTCCCCAATACACTCCTTGATTTAGCCAGTGGATGGAGCAACCCTGTTCACAAATCCCCACTT